GCCAACGCTGATAATGATGGACCGTGACGGAGGCATTTGGCAGTGGAGACCCGGGGCTCAATGTTGTTACCTGGACAACATTCTCTCTCTCTCTTCCCTCGCCATGCACTGTCCCCGGTTAACAACTCCTCCGCAAACAGTCGCACAATCATCACACGGAGGGCAGCCACAATGATAATACAACGCTGCACGAAGGGCATTGCGCGATCAACGTAACGTTGATAGTCACGCAGAACAACTGAGAAGAGCGTGGGCAACGTGGTGTTGGGGTGACAGTAGTGGCCCCAGGCAGACTTGATTGTGTGCTTATTTCGTACAGATAATTGTCTCCTTTTACTGAATGTCGTGTTTCTCTCCAACACGGCAGGACACGCAGGCTGTGCAGCGGGTCACACAGAATGCACTGGATGTGCAAGTCGAAGTTGACACAGCCAGGATGGACCGTTGTCATGTCTGCAGTGCAACATACACACACATCTGTGGGGTTTAATTGTTAGAACAACACAGTAATTCACACTGCACACACACATCTGCGGGTTTAATTGTTATAACGCAGTAATTCACACTGCACACACACAATCTGCGGGTTTAATTGTTAGAACACAGTGATTCATACTGCACACACACACAAATCTGCGGGTTTAATTGTTATAACGCAGTAATTCACACTGCACACACACAATCTGCGGGTTTAATTGTTAGAACAACAGTGATTCACACTGCACACACACACATCTGCGGGTTTAATTGTTATAACGCAGTAATTCACACTGCACACACACAATCTGCGGGTTTAATTGTTATAACACAGTGATTCATACTGCACACACACAATCTGCGGGTTTAATTGTTATAACACAGTGATTCACACTGCACACACACATCTGCGGGTTTAATTGTTATAACACAGTGATTCACACTGCACGCACACATCTGCGGGTTTAATTGTTAGAACAACACAGTAATTCACACTGCACACACACAATCTGCGGGTTTAATTGTTATAACACAGTGATTCACACTGCACACACACATCTGCGGGTTTAATTGTTAGAACAACGCAGTAATTCACACTGCACACACACAATCTGCGGGTTTAATTGTTATAACACAGTAATTCACACTGCACACACACGATCTGCGGGTTTAATTGTTATAACAACGCAGTGCTTCATACTGCACACAGAAAACCACGAGTCGACATTTTTAATTGGAATACAAATTTTGTTTTTATTTTCGAGCAGAGTCCGTGACTCGGGGTTGTCACGGTTCGATGCGGGAATAAACAACGGGCTGCCTGCGTCGTTCAACAACAACAACCAACAACAAGACAAAGGCCCCCCGTGTAGCCTGTGACGGACTGTTGGGGCAAGTGCTGTTGGCGAGCAGCAGCTATGAAGGCCGGCACGGCGCACACGAGGGGGCTGGGTGGTCAGCACCACGCCCGGCCGCCTTTGTCTCCCCAGTGGCGACGTTATTACGCAGCGCGCACCGGGTACTCGTTTTGAGGCCGAGTCGACCTAGGGGGGGAGGCCCAGGACCGGTTCAGAGAATCGTCGCTGGGTGGCCATAGCGCTTCGCCCCCCCCCACACTCCCCCGCCACCCCCCCCACACTCCCCCCCCACACTCGCCCCCCTCCACACTCGCCCCCCCCACACTCGCCCCCCCCACACTCGCCCCCACCCCCACACTCGCCCCCACCCCCACACTCGCCCCCCCCCCACACTCGCCCCCCCCCAAACTCGCCCCCCCCCAAACTCGCCCCCCCCACACTCGCCCCCCCCACACTCGCCCCCCACCCCCCACACTCGCCCCACCCCCCACACTCGCCCCCCACCCCCCACACTCGCCCCCACCCCCCACACTCGCCCCCCACCCCCCACACTCGCCCCCCACACTCGCCCCCACCCCCCACACTCGCCCCCCACCCCCCACACTCGCCCCCCACCCCCCACACTCGCCCCCCACCCCCCACACTCGCCCCCACCTCCCACACTCGCCCCCACCCCCCACACTCGCCCCACCCCACACTCGCCCCCACACTCGCCCCCCACCCCCCACACTCGCCCCCCACCCCCCACACTCGCCCCCCACCCCCCACACTCGCCCCCCACCCCCCACACTCGCCCCCCACCCCCCACACTCGCCCCCCACCCCCCACACTCGCCCCCCACCCCCCACACTCGCCCCCCACCCCCCACACTCGCCCCCCCCACACTCGCCCCCCCCCACCAGCCCCCCCCGCCGCGCGTGCTGTGGGTGACGGGCTGAGTGTGACAGGGCGCGCCGTGGTGACATCGCGGGCTGCGCTGAAGCTGCCACCACCACACAGTGCGGCGACTACGCCGACTTTCATAATAATCATCATCACCACCACCATCATCTTCTTCATCATCATCTTCACCATCATCATCTTCACCATCATCATCTTCACCATCATCATCTTCACCATCATCATCTTCACCATCATCTTCACCATCATCATCACCATCACCACCATCATCATCTTCACCATCATCATCACCACCATCATCATCACCACCATCATCATCACCACCATCATCAACACCATCATCATCACCATCATCTTCATCTGCTCAGGATCCATGGACAGGCAGCCCGCGGGACGTGTCGCCCGAGGCTCAGGGGGGCCACGAGGGCGAGATGTAGTATAGTAACAGGGTGGTCCAGATGTTCTGTGACCCCCCCCCCCCAAATTCATTGACCCCTCAACAGTTACTTCATTTGCATATTAATTTGTTATTTTTTTAATTGGGTGGGGGGGGGTAACAAGACACGTTGACCATCCTGGAGAGTAATATACACACTGTACAGTACCCACATGTACATTACAGATGAAATACCATGGGCACACATACGATGTATAATCTCTATACATAGTGTACCATGGGCACACATACGATGTATAATCTCTATATATAGCATAATGTAGAGTAGATAACATTACAGGACATGAATGTACACTGCGCTGCTATACCAATTACATATATACACTGTAAGTTACATGATAAACTACTTTAGGGATAGCACATAACACGTATGATGCACACACTATAATATACGCACCGTATGTTGTATACACAATATAACACGAGATACCATACTGTACTTATTGTAAACACGCAATACACACCACCACCCCATGCAGTATATGCAACACGTTGTACTGAACATACAACACACATGCAACATACATACAACACACATGTAACAAACACACAACACACATGCAACATACACACAACATACATGTAACATACATACAACACATATGTAACAAACATGCAACACACATGCAACATACATACAACACGCATGCAACATACATGACACTACCCCATGCCTCACACTCGTCACCCATGTCGTCTCGCCACAGCCTACACACACGTGTTGTATACACACAGCACACGACAGGCAACATACACAATGAACGGTGCACCACACACACAATACTCTCGTTAACATATACAGCACAATACACAAACACACACGACCCCCATGCACACATTGTATATTAAAATACACTCCCCAATACCACAACACACACATTAGATACGTACTGATAACATAACATACCAAGATAATATTCAACATTACCCCATGCCCCACACACAACATACACTCTACATATGGATAAACGTATACAATTCCCAAATGCACACTGCATACCCCCTATAAACAGTCTATACACCACGCTGTATTTAGTTAATGTCATGCAGGTACAATACAAGAACCCCCCCCCCCCATGCACCACAATAGATATAAACCCTACATATGGATAACACGCGATCCAAAAACACAATACTCCACACAGCACTCGCACAGTCCATATGCATCGTGCAGTATATCTTGCTGACAACGTGAAGGCACAATACGTGTACATGTGCACTCCACACCCCCATTCAGCACACACACAAAAGACACAAGGCTAACATTCAATACCAAAACACAATGGACCGCACTCCCACTTTGCAGTAGTACATATGGTAGGTGACTTTGTGCAATACACACGCCACAATGTACCACACTCACAGCACATACACCACGCAGTACACACACAGTGCAGTACACAGCACATATACCACGCAGTACACACAGTGCAGTACACAACACGTGTACACACTGCACACACAGCCCATACACCATACACCACGCAGTACACACAGTGCAGTACACAACACGTGTACACACTGCACACACAGCCCATACACCACGCACTATACACCATGCACTATACACCACGCAGTACACACAGTGCAGTACACACCGTACATGTACACACACATGTACACACCGTGCATGTACACACAGTGCATGTACACACTGCGCACACAGCCCATACACCACGCACTATACATCACGCAGTACGCACAGTGCATGTACACACAGTGCAGTCTACACAGTGCAGGTACAACACACGTGTACATACAGTGCATGTACAACACACGTGTACCCACAGTACATGTACACACACGTGTACATACAGTGCAGTACACACAGTGCATGTACACAGTGCAGTACACACACGTGTACACACAGTGCAGTACACACAGTACATGTACACACACGTGTACACACTGCACACACATCCCATACACAGTGCATGTACACACAGTGTAGTACACACAGTACATGTACAACACACGTGTACCCACCGCACACCACGCAGCCAACGACTCTGACCGACCGCAGTGAGCGCGTTCGTGCGGTCAGCGGCGACCCGTTTGCGGTCTTCCTCGGGGTGGCAAATTCGAGGGCATTGAAATATCAAAAAAAGGAAATAAATAAAATAAATCTCCCCCCCCACCACCACCACACCACACACACAGTGGGAGAGAGAGATAGGGTGGGGGAGAGGTTGGGGAGAGAGAGAGAGAGGGCTGTGGGAGGAGGGTCTTAGGGGTGGAGAGAGAGGAGGCAGCAGCAGCAGCAACAGCAGCTCGGAGTGAGATGATATAACGGGAGCGCACTCGCTGCTGCTGATGCTGCTGATGCTGATGCTGCTGATGCTGATGCTGCACACTCGCCACGACAGACGACACCTGCTGCTGCTGCTGGAGCTGCTGGAGCTGCTGATTGGTGATTGCTGCTGTTGGTTGAGCTGTCTCCACTGCCTGCTGCTGCTGCTGCTCGTCTCTTCTCATCCTGCTGCCGGGGTGTGTGAGGGTGCATCTCTCCCGATGCCTGTCAGCATTGTCCGTGTGTTGTAGTTAGTACCCCCTGCTTGCACGTGTCGCTGTTGTTGTTGGAGCTGTCTCCACTGCCTGCTGCTGTTGTTGCTGCTGCTGTTGTTGGAGCTGTCTCCACTGCCTGGCTGCTGTTGTTGCTGCTGTTGTTGCTGCTGTTGTTGTTGGAGCTGTCTCCATTGCCTGGCTGCTGTTGTTGCTGCTGTTGTTGTTGGAGCTGTCTCCACTGCCTGGCTGCTGTTGTTGCTGCTGTTGTTGTTGGAGCTGTCTCCATTGCCTGGCTGCTGTTGTTGCTGCTGTTGTTGTTGGAGCTGTCTCCATTGCCTGGCTGCTGTTGTTGCTGCTGCTGTTGTTGGAGCTGTCTTCGTTGCCTGGCTGCTGTTGTTGCTGCTGCTGTTGTTGGAGCTGTCTTCGTTGCCTGGCTGCTGTTGTTGCTGCTGCTGTTGTTGGAGCTGTCTTCGTTGCCTGGCTGCTGTTGTTGCTGCTGCTGTTGTTGGAGCTGTCTCCACTGCCTGGCTGCTGTTGTTGCTGCTGTTGTTGCTGCTGTTGTTGTTAGAGCTGTCTTCATTGCCTGGCTGCTGTTGTTGCTGCTGCTGTTGTTGGAGCTGTCTCCATTGCCTGGCTGCTGCTGTTGCTGCTGTTGTTGTTGGAGCTGTCTCCACTGCCTGCTGCTGCTGCCGCTGTTGTTGGAGCTGTCTTCGTTGCCTGGCTGCTGTTGTTGCTGCTGCTGTTGTTGGAGCTGTCTCCACTGCCTGGCTGCTGTTGTTGCTGCTGTTGTTGCTGCTGTTGTTGTTAGAGCTGTCTTCATTGCCTGGCTGCTGTTGTTGCTGCTGCTGTTGTTGGAGCTGTCTCCATTGCCTGGCTGCTGCTGTTGCTGCTGTTGTTGTTGGAGCTGTCTCCACTGCCTGCTGCTGCTGCCGCTGTTGTTGGAGCTGTCTTCGTTGCCTGGCTGCTGTTGTTGCTGCTGCTGTTGTTGGAGCTGTCTCCACTGCCTGGCTGCTGTTGTTGCTGCTGTTGTTGCTGCTGTTGTTGTTAGAGCTGTCTTCATTGCCTGGCTGCTGTTGTTGCTGCTGCTGTTGTTGGAGCTGTCTCCATTGCCTGGCTGCTGCTGTTGCTGCTGTTGTTGTTGGAGCTGTCTCCACTGCCTGCTGCTGCTGCCGCTGTTGTTGGAGCTGTCTTCGTTGCCTGGCTGCTGTTGTTGCTGCTGCTGTTGTTGGAGCTGTCTCCACTGGCTGCTGCTGCTGCTCGTCTCTTCTCATCCTGTTGCCGGGGTGTGTGTGAGTGTGTGTGAGTGTGTGCATCTCTCACGATGCCTGTCAGCATTGTGCTGTAGTTAGTACCCGCTGCTTGCACGTGTCGCTGTTGGCGCGGTGGCTGTCGCTCTGCTGTGCCCATGTGCTGCTGCTGTAGTTGTTGTTGTTGGAGCTGTCTCTACTGCCTGCTGCTGCTGCTGTTGTTGTTGTGTTCATCGGCCGTCGGCGTGTGCTTGACAACCTCGGATGCTGTCCGTGTCCGTGCAGACGGTGCCCTGCTGTTGTATTAATCCGCCCAATCAGCTGTTGTTGGGGTCTTCTCATCCAGCTGCTGTTGATGGTTTGCGCTGTCCTCTCTCGTCTGTGTCGACTCGCTGCTGTTGTAGTTGTTGCTGCTGTTGTTGTTGCTGCTGTTGTTGTTGCTGCTGCTGTTGCTGATGTAGCTGCTGCTGTAGTTGCTGCTGTTGTAGTTGCTGCTGCTGTAGTTGCTGCTGCAGTTGCTGCTGTTGTTGTAGTTGCTTCTGTTGTTGCTGCTGCTGCAGTTGCTTCTGTTGTTGCTTCTGTTGTTGCTGATGTAGTTGTTGTAGTTGCTTCTGTTGTTGCTGCTGCTGCAGTTGCTTCTGTTGTTGCTGCTGTGCTGATGTAGTTGTTGTAGTTGCTTCTGTTGTTGCTGCTGCTGTAGTTGCTGCTGTAGCTGCTGTAGTTGCTGCTGCTGGTGTTGTAGCTGCTGCTGCTGTAGTTGTTGTAGTTGCTGCTGCTGTAGTTGTTGTAGTTGCTGCTGCTGTAGTTGTTGTTGTTGCTGTAGTTGTCGGAGTGTTTCAATTCCATGCGTCGCTATCTGAGCCCTCACGATGCCTTTCTGTGTCTGCTGTTCGTAGTCTCCCTGCTTGTTCCATCATTTCCACTGCTGCTGTTGGACATTCTCACTCCGCTGCTAAGCGGTGCTTGTGCTGCTGATCACGGTGAAGCTGTTGAACGATTACAATGTGTTGTTGTTGTTGTTAATCAGCATCTGCTGATAAAGTACCAAAGTGGACTGAGCACGGCACTTTTGTTGACCTTTCCGCAGGGCGCAACAGCGGCAAGGGCGACCGCTCACAGCTACAGCAGACTCAGTGTTACACTGACACACACACAGGCATGCTATGAGCACTATTGATTCATAACTGTGCACACACACATCGCAAAGACATACATTACATAGACATTGCACGTTTACATTACACTGCGTACACGTGCGTACACGTAACAGCACATGGCATGTACATACATGTGCATGACAAGTCATATAATACACAGACAAGACACACGCAGGCCACATACATTCACATTTAACGGGCAAGATAAACATTACACATGCTGGCGAGACACACACAGTGCTAAGCCACGTAGACACATGTAAGTGTTGCACTTAGAAGAACATCCACAAACAACACAGCAGCAGCAGCAGCACATTGCCAGCACACGAGTATCAGCACCACGTGCAAGGCGACGTCTTAACAGTGAAGGGAACAGGAGGCGCACACTCGGCAAAGTGACACACAGCCTGCAACAAGCAGCGACAGAGAGAGTGTGAGTGGATCAATGAGTGACACGGCTACATAGGGAGCAGCAGCAGCACAAGAAGCCAACCCAGTGAGTGACCGAGACACGCACGGAGGAGGAGGGGTAGGAGACCCGGGGGAAGACGACGAGCAGTGACACAGACACACACGTGTACAGGGTGAGCAGCTAGGGTGTAGGAGACACACCGAGACCACAGCCCACCATGCTGGACCCCTCGTCCAGCGAGGAGGAGTCCGAGGACGTGCACGACCGACCCCGGGGGGGGGACGCGGCGACCTCCTCTGCCCGGGTCCCCTCGGCCGGCCGAGCCGCCTCGTCCCGTGCCAGCGATGCCGCCGCCGCCGCCTCCGCCGTCGTCTCCTCCGCCTCGGGGGCCGGGGGTCCATCGGCTTCAGCCTCCTCCTCCTCCTCGTCATCATCGGCGGCGTCTTCTGCCGCCACCGCCGCCGCTGTCGGAGTCATCCGGGAAGGCGGCGGCGACGACGGTGGCAGGCGCCGCGGGCCACGTGGCCGTGAGTTTGACCTCCGGGCAGGTCACGGGGTCAGCTCCCGGGGTCGCCGCCTCCAGTGCCGCGGCGGTCGCGGCGGGTCCCGGGGTCGCGGCGGGCAGCCCGAGCCCGCCGCCCTCGTCGCAGGCGTCGGGGGGAGACCGCGAGAAGGAGGAGCTGGAGCGGCTGCAGAGGGAGGACGAGGAGAAGAGGCGGCGGCTGCAGCTCTACGTGTTCGTGCTGCGGTGCATCGCGCACCCCTTCAACGCCAAGCAGCCCACCGACATGGCGCGGCGGCAGCAGAAGGTGCGCGGGGCGTGTGCGGGGTGTGTGTGCTGTGTGTGTGGTGTGTGCTGTGTGTGTAATGTGTGAGGTGTACTGTGTGTGAGCCGTACTGTGTGTGCTGTGTATGAGGTGTTTACTGTGTGTGTGGTGTACTGTGTGTGGGCCGTACTGTGTGTGAGGTGTGTGTGTGTACTGTGTGTGAGCCGTACTGTGTGTGAGGTGTGTGTAGTGTGTACTGTGTGTGTGGTGTGCTGTGTGTGTGGTGTGCTGTGTGTGAGGTGTGTACTGTGTGTGTGGTGTGCTGTGTGTGAGGTGTGTGTGGTGTGTACTGTGTGTGTGGTGTGCTGTGTGTGTGGTGTGCTGTGTGTGAGGTGTGTACTGTGTGTGTGTGGTGTGTGTGGTGTGTACTGTGTGTGTGGTGTGCTGTGTGTGTGGTGTGCTGTGTGTGAGGTGTGTACTGTGTGTGTGGTGTGCTGTGTGTGAGGTGTGTGTGGTGTGTACTGTGTGTGTGGTGTGCTGTGTGTGTGGTGTGCTGTGTGTGAGGTGTGTACTGTGTGTGTGGTGTGTACTGTGTGTGTGGTGTGCTGTGTGTGTGGTGTGCTGTGTGTGAGGTGTGTACTGTGTGTGTGGTGTGCTGTGTGTGTAATGTGTGAGGTGTACTGTGTGTGAGCCGTACTGTGTGTGCTGTGTATGAGGTGTCTACTGTGTGTGTGGTGTACTGTGTGTGGTGTGTGTGTGGTGTACTGTGTGTGGTGTACTGTGTGTGAGCCGTACTGTGTGTGAGGTGTGTGTGGTGTGTACTGTGTGTGTGGTGTGCTGTGTGTGAGGTGTGTACTGTGTGTGTGGTGTGCTGTGTGTGTAATGTGTGAGGTGTACTGTGTGTGAGCCGTACTGTGTGTGCTGTGTATGAGGTGTTTACTGTGTGTGTGGTGTACTGTGTGTGGTGTGTGTGTGGTGTACTGTGTGTGGTGTACTGTGTGTGAGCCGTACTGTGTGTGAGGTGTGTGTGGTGTGTACTGTGTCTGTGGTGTGCTGTGTGTGTGGTGTGCTGTATGTGCTGTGTGTGTGGTGTGCTGTGTGTGAGGTGTGTACTGTGTGTTTGGTGTACTGTGTGTGTGCTGTGTGTGTGGTGTGTGTGTGTGCTGTGTGGTGTGTGTGTGCTGTGTGTGTGTGCTGTGTGTGTGGTGTGTGTGAGGTGTGCTGTGTGGGTGGTGTGCTGTGTGTACTGTGTGTGCTGTGTGTGGTGTGTGTGAGGTGTGCTGTGTGGGTGGTGTGCTGTGTGTACTGTATGTGCTGTGTGTGGTGTGCTGTGTGTGGTGTGCTGTGTGTGTGAGGTGTGCTGTGTGTGGTGTGTACTGTGTGTGCTGTGTGTGTGGTGTGCTGTGTGTGCTGTGTGCTGAGTGTGTAAAGGAGCACTTCCTATGTGTACTGCATTTGAGGTGTAATGTGTATTGTAAATTCACCGTGTATACATGATTTTTCAAAATGCAGTGTAAATCACGTGTAGAACATGAGTGTGTGTGTAGTGTACTTGTGTGTTGTATTTGCGTAACAATTGTGTGCAGTGTGCGCACAGTCTGCGTGTGCAATTCCCAGTGTGTCATCATCATCATGCTCTTGTTTAGAGCACTCGAGTGCACGCATAAACCCACGTGCTTATAAACGTACAGTGTTGCCTTTGGGAAATTAATATACTCAAGAATAGCTGTATTTACACTTACACACACCACCACCACTAGCAACAACAACAACGACAGGAGCTGTTGAGTAGGGTACGTATCCCCACATTTAAATACACTCATCCCTGACGGCTGTCTTCAATGCATCACGGGCAATGCATTAACAGCAGCCTCCATTCGCCACTAATTGTTGACGGTCGACATCGCCAGAGCACCTGCGTCAGGCGAGGTGCACTTTGAGGCCAAGTGAAGTGTGGAAGAAGCCTTTGCCGGTCCACTGACCGAGGTGCCTGGCAGATGCCCTCTTCCTGTGCTGCCCCAATGTGCTGTCACATACACATGCAACACACGCACACGTCACATCGCAATAGTGCCATGCAGCTTGCATTGGTCTCACTGCCTTAATAAGGTGACTGATTTTTTTTCCCTTCTCAAGAGGTCTTTTGCTTTTCCCTGCTGCTTTAGGAACACCGATCAATGCACAAAAGTCATTACAGCTTCTGTACTGCACCATCAGTTATCCTGATTAACATGATCAGAACAATTGGGTTTATTTTTGGGTCTGTTTGGTGGTGGTGGTGGTAGTGGTGGGTTGAACGGCTGCTGCTATTGAGATTGTCGTAATTGGGGAGAGCGCATGATCTGAAATGATTTTGTCACTGCTCTTCCTCAAATTATGTAAAGTCATAAAATATGCATCGCTCTTAATTGGGCTACACGCACGCATGCACCGAGATGATGTGCAGCTAAGGGACCTGTCTTGTCAATATGCATGCAGTTTGCCCAACGAATTCACTAATTCTCATTGCTTACGTCTTTTATGTGATGGAGCAAAGAGTGTATTTTTTGCTGAGTCAAAACCAAAGAGTCGATATTTTCGCCAGATTGCCACATCCATTGACTTGGATCCCTTTGCCAGAATTTTAACATATTTATTCACCCCATGTGTTGAGTCTTTTTATTATGCACTATTTACATGTGTGTGCAGTCACTACGTTAGTGGTCGATATACCCACGAGTTTATACTATAATTGTGCGAAACATTGCACACGTAATAGAGTAGGGCAACAAACGTTTTCATATACTTACGGGGAAGGCAGTGCAGTTTAAACAGTGGCAGAGTTTAGTAAGTGACACGTGTTTAATAATATGACACATTACCGCAACGCATCTAATGTGTACAATTTAATGTTCTTTGAACTGTCAGTTTTGTTGTGGTCGATTCGGCAGCAGTGTCGTAAAGGTTCCATCAGTTGAAGTTATTTCATTTTTTCTTCTTGCTCTCAAATTGACGGCTTGCAGTGCCACTCTGGAGAGAACATTGGGCTCACATGGGGGTACTTTTCAGTTTTGTATTTGCTTTTGCAAACTTCTTTCAGGTGCAAAGTGTGTAAAGACCTGTTTACTTTCCTCCCGCGTTTTAAAATAAGTTTCTTTGCCACGACGTAAGCACATACTGGAGAGTTGTTTTTTTAAACCAGATTATTGTACTTATGGCATATGGAGAGTATTGCATGTATACTCTTAGGTTTTTTCGAAAAAAATCTAAGAGTATGAATCCTTGCAGTCACGAAAGCTTCAAATCTAGAAGTATTGCATGTAGACATACAATGTAGCCAAGTAGAATCCGCCAGTGCTGAAGATGGTTTTGAATGAATGAAGACAATTTACCATACGATTACAATGTAAGATATGTATGAAACGCCTATGTTTTACACCTAATACTGATATGTGCAATTAGTGATCTTGTAAGCACAATATAATTTGTCTTTAGATCGTGAACATATCTTCATATACGGTATTCTGCATTAAGTTTATATATGTTTTTGTATACACAGTATTAGTTTACATGCTGTCCACAGTATATATGTACAGTATATTGAAATTACAGTCGTGAATTAAATGCATAATTTCCCTGCCATTTACACGTTACATTTAATCATGCTTCATTGTATTCATAATGTACCTTGGCACTGCTAGTTAAGTGCCCTGCGTGACATACATAATTGTGACAATGCAATGCACCCTTTTTTTTGCATTATACCTTGCCTACTGAGTGTATACTGCACCAGACTGCTTACAGTGTATTGCTGGACACGATGAAGAATTATGACATCAAGATGTACTGTTTCCTCTCTGGCTGTGACAATCAACCAGTCAGTGGTTGCCAGGTTAAAGAAACACAAAGTTGGGTGTGAGGATCTTTCCTGTTATTGACAGCTCAATCAAATTGTACTATGGCAAGACGAGACATGGTGTTTTGATGATGAACTGGGATGATATATGTATTTGAGTATGTGTTTAGTGCACGTGTCAGAGAGAGGCCTTCAAGAATATCGGTTTTGGCACGCCATCACGCACATAGGTTTTCCCAGTGCCACTCTTTTGACACTAAAGGGATTCGTAGGTATTTCTTCTGGAAACGGTGCCATAATTCAGTCGATATATTGCCGTCTTGTGACATATAGTGACTGTCCACAAATGCAGTATTTACCTGGCAGTATACACTGTGCTGCAGTCTGTATCGTGTCCTGGCTGTCATATCAAAGCAAATGCAAGGAGGGCCTTCTACAAGACAACATTAAATGACTATAATGGTGAACAGGCACGTGTAAGACATATTCATTACTCGTTAATGACCGAATCTGGCAATTGTTTGATAAGAGCCTTATAATAATCGTTTTGTTGTAAAAAAGTGATTTGTCGATGTGACCTCAACTGTATAAAATCATAGTCCTGTATGACTTAATTTTACATAATTATTACCGTATGACATTCAATGTAATTTTTGGGACCATGTGATTTTAATTCACGGAGTTTAACGGGTTAAGCGGTGGCGCAGTGGTTTTAGTGGACTGCACTGTGAACCTGGCCACCTGAGTTCTATTCCCAGCCGTGGTTAGCGAATGATATCTAAACCTGTCCTGGGCACCCCCCCCCCACCCTTGAGAAACCCCCACAAGTGGATAGTATGGTGGAATACGATCAAGCAGCCACTGTGGCTTACACAGCATGGTGGGGGGAGGGGAGGAAGCCCTCATACAAAAGGCTGACTATTTTGTTTGATTTGACATTCCACTCCAATATTTTGAGTCAACTTTTGACAACTGTGTTGTGGATTGGTGATATTAACGTGAATTCGCTCTTAGCATGATTTCTTTTTTACATTGCAGACTTTTGGTGTTCGACAAAACTACGGTATGCACGTTTTAAATTGCGGTAAAGTGAGAGTGATGGAGGATTTATGGCGTGGCCCTCCATCGGTGTATTCGTCTGTGTGTTGCTATCATGAACAGCTCCCTCTTGAGTTCTCCCATGTGAAAATGTATTTATATTTTATTT